AAAAGAAATATATGTTGCTAGATCCTATTGAATTTGCTTCCCCCTGTGACCTTTTCATTTTTGCTGTTTCTGGAAAGACGTTCTTTCTAGAATTTTGAATAGGGTGTCTTATCTGTTACACCAACAACAATGAAAGCCCATTCATCTTTTAGAAAATGACCATTCCTCTTGTCCAGAGGTTAGTTTTAATCCCATGCTGTTTTCTAGAAAAAAAGACACCTGATGAAAGAGACCGTGATCACTTACTTGCAGTCAGATGAACATCTTGAGTAAATAAAAGGAGGTGGTCTGTTTAGTGACAGTAGTAATAAAACAACTTATTGTGCAGCATATTATGACGTCAAGTAGTTTCCTTAGAAATTTATCTTGTGATGTTTCACCCCCTCCCATAAAACTTAAATTTAATAACGAATATATTAATAAAAATAACGAATTTATTAATCAAATTTTTCATTTTTAAAAATTTTAGTTTTTAAATTTTTTTTTTTTTTTTACCTTACGTGGGATTAGTTTTTAAGTTAGACATTTTTAGTTCATTTTTCATTAAAATTTTAAAACAGACGTTGTGAGCAGTATGGACAATATTTTTTCTGTGTTAATTCTTAAGTTCTGAGGAAATTTAGTTAGAGAGAGGTAAATTGGCAAAAATCTTTTATTTGGTATTTGTTACTTTCCAGTTTTGACATTAATGTTAATACTTAATTTAATTTTCGCTCAAATATTGCATAAATGTATTGAATATTTACCAAAAAATGAATGCATATTATTGTTTATTTTAAAAAAATTAAACAAGTAATGCTGTTCATTATTATAATATTTGTATACTCACATTATAAATTTCATTTTTGTGTTTAAATAAGTGTCTGTCTTGTTACATCAAACGTCATCTTTACAGATTTATACTAACACTCTGGTTTATCATCATTGCATTTTTTTTCTCTTTATGTTAGTTATTATTCTCTTTAATATTTATTTTCTTTATTTTAGTTGTCTGATGATGATAAGAATTTTGTACAAACATACACTTTCACTGTAATCTTGCTATGGTATTATTTTTTAACGAGATTAAACTATGGGGGAAAAACAAAACATTGTGGAATGGGATATTGATTTGTTGAATATTATATGATGTGTTATTATAACTGCTGTATGAAGTGTAAAACTATATATGCTATAGTTGGCATTTATGCATTGTTTATTCTAACTATGTCAAATGTTATAAAATCGAAGCGGATACTGTTTACATTCCTGTTATCAAATTATGTGATGTTTTCCATGTATATATATTATTTTAAGTTCCATTCTAAACTAAATTATTAAAAAAAAAATTTATCAAAATATTTTACAGTAAAAGAGGACAAGTTTTTCATAACTTTTAATAATTTTTTTGATATCTATAAAGGAATCAGAGTTGCTGATTTTATTAATGACTTCTTATTTTTTTGTTAAATTATTTGATTCGTGTAGAGCTCTTATTTTGACTTATTTTTTTGTAATTTTGTTTCAAAATTGTTTGGAAGCAAATAAAAATTATTTCTTTGATTATTGACTTGAAAACTATCTATTTTATATTTCTTTAACCACTAACTATTAATTTATTTAAAATAAAATTTACTGAACTGATTGAGTGATTGATGATTTTTAGCTTCATTTATAATTTCATTAACTTCATTCATCATTAACTTCAATTATAAATATGGACCTTTATTTTGCTAGTGTAAAGTACTTCAAGCATTTTAAACTATTATTAAAACTTAATGTGTACCCATTACTGGTTATTACTAGGTACTTTTTTAAAACCATTCAAAAATTAAAATTCTTTTAATTTTTTATGAATGCAAACAATTTCTACAATTTATGAATGTTGAAAAATAGGTATTATTAAATAATTTTTATTACAGAAAATTCTTGTCAAAAAATTATCTTATTCACTTAACTGTTCTGTTAATCTAAACCCTCTTTAACGCGTTGAATGCCATGGGGCTCACTGGTGACTGACACTGAGTTTGTTCATAGCGCAACGGGGGTTATTGGTGACTGGCGAAGCCAAGATTATTAGAAAAACGTAATTTGAGTAAATTTTTAATGCTTTTAATTTTTTTTATTATTATCGTTACTAAAATGGTTTGAAGAAACTAATGCAATATAGAACACACAAAAATCATTTTGACCAGACGGGCAAGCCATATTAAATTAGTGTGGCATTCAACATGTTAAGCTTTTTACTTTCCACTGTTGCCATTATAAGTACAAAACATGAATCCACCAGAGAGGACTGTCACTTGAAATTTTTCTCCACCAAAAATAAGGGGAATGTGTGACAACGGAGACTTTGATGTTTGAGATGAAGGGAGAAAAGAAAATGTAACAACATGTTTGCTCTATCTCTATTACAGCTCTATGGTTGACATCCCTGCATGTGTAGTTTCAATTATTGTGGATTTGCCTTTAAAATTTTTTCCCTTCCAATTTTTTTTCTCTTTTTCAATTCTTGGAACTTCTTGTGGCAACTTATCCTTGACTAAGCAACTTATGAAATATTAAGCTAGGCAAATGAGAAGTGTACATTTTTATTTCAAATGAATCCCCCCCCCCTTCTGATTTAGTTGTTTTATAGGTTATCCGCATAATTAAAAAAAATTGCCACCTCGTTGTCACATAATTTTTAAGGGATCTAGTGTTATGTTTGCACTAGTTGAAAAAGAAAATTTTTTCTGCTTTTATTGTTTAAAAAATTATTTAAAATTATCAGCTTCTAATGAAGTTCTAATTCGAAAATCCAGAACTTAAATGCATTTTATTGAAAATAATTAGATTGTAAATTTGATAAGATTAATATGAAAAAAATTATTAATAAAGATTTTTTAAAGTGGTATTTTTTTGTCTTTCTTGTTTTGTGTTGTAATTGTATATTTCATATAAAAAAACTTTCAAAAATATTGCTAATTTAAATATTGTTTGACAAGTTCCAATGAAAAAAGTCATTATTTCAAATTAAGTTTGGAAGAGAAATAGACTTAGAGGTTGGGCAGCTCTGACGAGCAGGGCACATCGACCAGAGGTCTATTGTACCCAAACCCTAAAATCATGATTAGCATGAAAGCCCTATGGCTGAAATAAAATTCAGCAAGCACCTTACAGGAACATCTTGCAGTTCCCAGGCATTGACAATATGCTGTCCTAAATGCTCAAATCTTTGAGCAGAATAGACCTCACAATCACAGAGTATGTGTCGTGATGTCTCTTCTTCTAGATGACATCCCCGACAAAGAGAATTTGATTCTATTCCCATAATGTTTAGGTGTCTTCTGAGGATACAGTGGCCAGTAAGAAGACCAATGATCTTCCTTATACTGTTTCTGTTAAGCTTTAAGAGCTCCTTTTGACGTACACTAGGACAGTCTCGATTCAGCTCCTTAGCTTGTCTTTGACCGTCAGCAGCGCGCCACTGCTCATGGGCGATCTTGCCGTAGAGCTTGAATATGGTTGCCCTAAATGAGGAGGGAGAAATTCCCAGCGCAGGTTCAGGGCCCCAGAAAATTGCATTAGAGCCAGCCCGTGCTGCTTCGTCAGCTAGCTCATTTCCACCGATACCCATATGTCCTGGTACCCAATGCAGGGATACCTTGTTATGAGTGGACAGGTCACAGAGGACCGAGAAGCATTCCCACACTAACAAAGAGGTGAATTTACACCTTGACAGTGATAGGAGAGCAGCCTGACTGTCAGAACAGATGCGGATAGTCGTATTTTGATATCCTTTGTCTATGCATAACTTGCAGCACAAGATAATGGCATAGACCTCAGCCTGAAAAACGGTGGCATAATTTCCCAGGGGAAAGTGAAGTTTGGTACCATCATTGGAGCAGTAAATTCCTGCTCCTGATTTGGCACCAATCTTTGACCCATCAGTGTACCATATCAGGCATTTGCCTTTAAGCCACCGAGGAGAATTGAACCATTCATCTCTAGTAGGAAAATGGATCTTGAAGGGCTTGTGAAAAGCATATCTTAGTGACATAAAATCACTAGGCATAATAAAAGAGGATAAATCCTTCACTTGTGAAACAAGATGTCCCCATGACAAGTGTTTGGAATTCTCTTTCCATAGGCCAAGGTACATAAGACGCTTTACGCCTGTCTGAGCTTCAACTTCAATGCGTAAGTTCAATGGAAGAAGCCCAAGTAAGCTCTCTAGAGCAGCTGTAGGAGTGGTCCTGAGACAGCCTGACAGGGCTACACAGACCATTCTTTGTAGTCTGTTAAGATTAGACCTTGCGGAGCTCAATCTAGTCCTTGACCACCAGACGATTGCGCCATAAGTGATGATAGGACTAATAATCATTGAGTATATCCAGTAGACTATTTTGGGGGACAATCCCCATGTTCTACCAATAGCATTTCTACAAGACCAGAAAATTTTTCTGGCCCTGTTGGTGCAGTATTCAAGTTGAAGACCCCAATTTAGTTTGGAGTCAAAATAAACCCCGAGAAACTTGACTTTCTCTGTGAGTTCCAATTTATGGTCCAGGTAGTATACATTACCTAGATCAAGTTGCCTTTTCCGTGTAAAGGCTACATAACTTATCTTGGATGGATTGACAGATAAGCCTGATTTAAAACACCACCTAGCTACTTCTAGGAGTGCATTATTCATGATATCAGAGACAGTTTTTCCATGTTTGCCTCTGACAACAATAACACCGTCATCAGCGTACCCGATACAGGGAATGCCAAGAGCAGTTAACCGAACTAACAGGGAGTCCATTACCATACACCATAGGATAGGGGACAAAACCCCTCCCTGGGGGCATCCGGCAGTTGCATGCACTTTCATGCTTGCATCCAATAGAGAGGAACAAACATACCTAGAGGAAAGCAAATTCGCTATCCATCTGGTAATTATTGAGTTTATGCCTCTGTTCCTAAGTGCATTGATGATAGTCTCAACAGGGACTTTATCAAACGCACCTTCAATATCAATGAAAACCGCGAGAGCCATCTCCTTATCTGTGATAGATTTCTCAAGCAGGTAGGAGAGCTCATACAGAGCGGTGTCTGTAGACTTGCCTGGTTGATAGGCATGCTGTGAGGAGGACAGTGGCCTTTCTATGAGCACAGTGTCTCTGAGGTGTCTGTCAATTAGCTTTTCTATCGCTTTCAACAGACAGGAAGTGAGGCTGATTGGTCTGAATGATTTATTACAAATTTCGTAAGTATTTTTGAATGCAATATTTATTAATTCAGAACTTTTATAATTTTTAATGGTATTTTTATTAATGTTAGTTAATAGTTATCAACTCAATATCTTTTTAAAAAAAAATAGAAATGGGGTTAAAACAGTTATTAATGAATATGTTTAAGTATTAAAAGTTAAACAGTGTTTTCGCTTAACTTTGTTTCTTCTTTTTCTGTGAATATAACATTAAATATTTATGTATAAATTTTTTTAAACTTAATTTTTAATATGGTTCGTTAAACTACCAGAATACTTTTGAAAATTCATTACAATAAATTTATATATTGATGGGCAATTTATGGAAAAGAAAATAGACTTATATGAGAAAAGTAAACTTAAACTAGTGTAACATTTGTTATTGAATTTTTTCTAACGGTGTGAAATAAAAGCGAATGCAACAAAAAGAACAATAATTTCCGAACACAAGAAATAAAAGAATTAAAGTACCCGGAGGCTCTCTCTTGCATGATAAAATATTGGAATCAAATATAGTGTTTTGCAGCGATGGAGGTGTTTTCTATTCGTAGGTTCGTTAGAGTCACAGGATAGTCATGTACGTAAACGATACAGGTGTTCTAAGGAGTCGTGGCCTGTTAGGAGTCAGAAATGGGCTAATGCATTTCAGTGAGGTTTATCTGGTATTGCTCTTACTTCACTCCAATTCTTATACTTTATCGTAATCAAAAAAGGGTTCTCATTTTTGCTGGGTATTTTATAGATACTAGGACAGACTAGAGTGTTTTGGTTGGAGTAGTTGGGTTCCATTCCGAGGAAGGAAATCAGCCTGCTCATTACCGTTTGTGGCTTGGTAGCCACGGGATGATTAAAATTTTGTTCATCGGCTATAAAAATTTGATGAGCTCCTGACCCTGGAATTTCATCTAATAAAGGATTTTCTAGTAAGCTAGTTGCTTGTATTCCATCCTGAGAATTTGAGAGAAAAACAATTTTTTGAAACTTGCAGTGAACAGGCAACACATGTTTCAGAGCAATATGTAAATCATTAACATCAAATTAGTGAACCTGTTATTAAAAATTTCTAAAAACTGAGAATGTTCAATATTGTTTTGGTTGTTAGGACTTTTTTTTAAGTTAAATTTGGGGACTTAAACCTCCTTTTTTTTTTAGTAAGTAAAGTAGTGGTAGAGGCTCTCATTATTGGTAATTTCCCAGTTTAATTATTCATTCATAACTACTACCATGCATTTTCTATTTGAATATACTATATCAACGATATAGTAGTATATGTAAAATGAAAATCTGTCTTGCATTCGTCCCGCAGTGGACTGATCGTTAAGACACGGTTTCCAGAAGATCATCGAAGTTAAGCATCACTGGCTGCGCACAATGTGCAAGTGGGAGACCACTTGGATCAGTCTGCGTAGGGACCGAGGGTGTGCTGTATGGGTCCTCGTTAAACTGTTCTAGCATAAAGTGCTCGACTTCGAGTGCAGGTCGTCAGGCCATCCCCTCTGCAGATGATCAAAAGTGTGATATGGCATATCTTCGAATCATTCTCAGGGATGTTTCCCAGACCGTCGCCAATAGCCCATTGTGCAGCTCTTGTGCGACATATCTGAACTACTACTGGCTTGCATTCATTTTTAATAATAAACAGAAAGAAATATGCTTGAAAGTATTGCTGATTTAAATCTCTATTACTAGATAATTACTTTTTATTGTTTACCACTTTTTACATTTTTAGGTGTTTGTATTCTCATTGTGATTCGATATTAATCCCTTTGGTGGTCTATAATTAACCATAGACTTTGGTAGTCCATAATTTAGGCTCCGTTAAAGATGCTTGATAATGGAAAAACTTCATTAGCTTCAAAAATTAAGATGGTAGACGTGTTTTGAACTTTAAAAAACAAAGTGCCTATTCTCATGTCTCACCAGACATGAATGAAGAAAACAAGCAAATTTTAAAAACATGTACAAAATTCTAACAAAAATATGGAAAATGAAATTAGGGTGAAAAACAAAATAGGGAAAACTGGGGCAGGTGAGAGAAACGACGGTTGCAGAAAGAGGTAAATCTGGTCGATACCTTTTCATGTGGTATATAGAATCTTGTGCTATAGTAGATTTTAAAAGCATAATGATGAGCTGTTGTGATGGAGAGAATTTTACCGTCATAGAAGTTAAATTTATGCCGAACGTTTGAAACGATGTGCGACAATTTATCATTTATCGAATTCTTGGTAACGAATTTTAGAGCGAGTTTGGTTTATCTGAAGTAGTCAAACTTGCATTGGCATGTGGCAAATGTTAAAGCGGTTAGTAATACATATGGGATTTTAAGAAACTTAAAATAAAATTTTGTTCACTGGCCTGAAATTAATTTTAAAACTAAAACAGGATATTAGCACATTTATGGAAGGAGTAACAAGTTCATTGTAAAAATTAATGGAGGGGCGTTTGAATACAAGTTAAGCAAGAGCGGGATCAACTATAGAAGGGTTAAATCTTCGCCTACAGTTCGTTCATCAGGAGTTGGCACTTGGCTCCACCTCCTCTGACGCAGAGTTCATTTCAGCGGGGGAGTTAGAAGAGAAACATTTCCACCCTTGAAATTGAGACAACCCTTAATGCGCGCCAAACACAAATAGTGGCTTCTTTCTCAGTCACTTACTTCGCTTTATCATCTGCTATTATACCTTTCGTTTCTCTAGCTAATTAAATATATTTTAAATTTAAAAACTGCTGTTTTCCCATCAAAATGTCTCAAAAAGGACAAACTATTCTCTCAAAAGAGAGAAATGCCATAAAAATTGGTTCGAAATATCAAATTTATGAAATATTCAATGTTAAAAAAAATGCAGATAAAGTTTGTGAAATGAATATTTTTTGTCATATGATCGCCAAATAGCAAACTTGTTCAGGATTGCTCACAATCTTCTCCCAGAAATAGCGAAATAGTATCGTCGCATACCACGTGAGGAAGGCGGAGCCAAGTGCCAACTCCTGGTGAACGCGCTATAGCAGCAAGTCCGGCATTTAAATAGGAAAAGTCAGAGCAGAGGTTAAGTGCGCGGAAAACCTTAGTAACAATTAGGGTTATTGGAATTAACATGGAAAGGAGAAGAAGCGGCTAAATTGCGATAAACAGAGGTTTGAAAATTAGTTGATGTGAATGCCGATTCTCCAATTAACGACGCGTTCCTCACAGCCTGTCTACACCGCTTGCAAACTGCGAGGATCATCTGGGGTTGAATTGCTGCACGATTTTGCACGCCCTCAAAGCTCACTAGATTTTTTGCGCTGATTCAAACAGGATATGATCACCCCTTCTACAGATCGGATCTCATTCCATCTGATTACGATCTGTTCACTAGCTGTTATGAACAAGTAGATTAGGACTAAGCTCTTTATCGACGATGTGCAGTTTCTAGCCGCTATGTGCCATGTTAGTTGAAATGGCCACGAATGCAGAAGTGATTAGTTTGTTAGTTATGTATTAAAATATAGAAGGCAGCTTTAAGCTGCAAAAAGGAAAAAAAATGTTCCTAAGCGTATTCTTTTTAAAAATTTGCCCCAAAATGGAGAGGTTACTTTCAGAATTTCCTGTCGTATCAGTTTATTACTATAATTTATTATCTGTAATATTATAACCATTATATTTTTGGGGAAATTTCAATGTAAAACAAATTTATTACAGATAGTTAATCCATGCATTTTCTTGCTTCTAACTTAGTGAAGCAATTCAAAATGCTCTAAAGCTATTAAAATCTAAAATTCTGTAAAATTAATATATATATGTCATGGCGAAAGACCGAAATCGGTGATTGTTGACTTTCACAGGTGTATGTCGACAATCACAGATATGCTTTAGTGAATGTCCGAAATATTTATTACATTCGATTTGATATGAATTTATTCGATATTTTAACCCAACACTGATGTTTTTTTAAGGTTAAGTGCCACTGCCCGGTATACCCTACACTGATGTTTTTTTAAGGTTAAGTGCCATTGCCCGGTATATATTTGCCCGATACTCCAAACACTGATGTTTCTTCTAATCTATCGTCAGTAAGTATTAAAATATAGAATAAATATAAATATATCAAATAAATATAATAATATTAACGAATAAATTAATATAAAATTGGACATAACAAATATTTCGGACATTCACCAAAGCGACTATGTGATTGTTGACATTCACCGGTGAGAATCAGAAATGAGGGTATTTAGCAAATATTTCGGACATACAAGAAGCGACTACGTGAATGCATTCACCGGTGAAGGTCGACATTCTCCAGATTTCGGTGTTTCACCGTAACATATATATCCTATTAACTTTCATTAAATTTATTTTTGCTTAGGCCCACAAAACATAGGACTATTTTCAAGAACAAAACAAAAGAAGATGAAATATTATGAACAAAACTTAAAAATAGAGAAGAAAAATTCTTTTCTGGAGTGAATGGGAACAAGAGGAAATGTAGGCAAAGAAAACAATACTATTTTGCCAATCTTGAGATAAAATCGAGAACTAAGGAATATTTTTAATATCAATATCACGATGTTTATTCAGCATAACGCAGGTGCTAAATTGTAAAGAAAAGTCTGAAAGGTAAGTTTGGTAGTGGCGCAAAATTAAAGTTCTTAAAAAACAATGTTTCCTAAGGGCAGATTTCAATATATTTGCATCGCACATTTTATAGTTATTAAATTAATATTGCTAACATTACTCTATTTTTTTCCTAATTCAAGTAAAAGATTTTACATTGCAGTCGGCGAGTGTGTTTTATTCATTGCTTTTTCGATTTTGAGTTTTACTTGGGTGAAAAGAAAATTTCTAAGTGATAAAATAAGTCCTGGAGATAAAGCAGTTCTTATAACAGGTGAGAATTGATGCTTGCTTTTCACAAATTGTTTAAATATAAGTACCTGAAAGAGTAAACTTGAGTATAATTATTATTATTTAAGACATTTTAGGAAAATCATGTATGTACCGATCAAAAGTGAAAAAAAGTGAGGTAAATTAAAATTTAACCGAATTCTAACTCTTGATTGAGATGTTTCCAATGACGTATTTTGCTATTTTGTTCTATTAAAACTTCTACTCTTTTCTGAAGCAAGAATAAAAAATAATAAAAAATATATTTTATTCTTACATTGCTTGTCATTTTTTAAATAATTCATGATAGTTTTTAAACGAAAATATTAAAATGTTCTCTTTTATACAATATAAGTATTGCTAGAGGTTAAGTGCAGTTGCTTTAATTTAAAAATGTATTTAAAGTTGTTTTCATTAAAGATATGCGAAGTAAAGTAAAAATATTGTCCAAAACAGTAACATAAATCCTATACCTATGTATTTTATTTTTCTAAGCATTTTGCCCACAAGAAGCATTTACGCAGTTATCTGAACTGTTAGAATGAATATGTGTAAAAAGAAGAGGAGAAGGGCACCCGCAAAAAGTTTCTCTGAGTGGTGCAAAATTTAAATAGTATTAATTTTAATATTTATTGAAAATTTAAATTATGTATTTAAATATTTATTATAATATGTAAAAAAAAAATATGCATACAAATTTAAAAAAAAAAATCTGTATAATGATTTTTTAATTTTTTTTTAACCAATTTATTCAATGCTTATTAATTTATTTAATGCATCTTTTAGTCCAACTGAACTAAAAGTTGTTAGAATAAAATTAAATTTTTAACATAGATTAAAAAAAAAAATTCGTTAAAACTTATGCTTTATTTAAAATGAAACAGTGTATGAGCAGAAACAAAAAATGGTAGGTTTATTATTTTGTTAAATTTTATATTATTATTATTATTTGTGTGACACACGACGAATACACACTAGATAATCAATGCATAAAATTTAAAAATGGAGCTTTTGCACTAGTTTCTAACTATAGGAATTATAATTCAGTGTGGCACATTTTCACAAAAGAAAAATTTCAATAAATTAAAATAAAAAAATTATTAATATTTAAAAATTAATTTTTATTTATTAATTTAATTAATGCATCAAAATTAGTTTTTCTACATAAATTTTTATTTCACTAAATTTTCAAAGGGTGCAAGTGCTCGTGACTCATTTGCGTGAGCTCTTACGGAAAGCCTTGTTCAATAGTTAATCTGATTTAGGTAATTTTTAATAAAGTTAGGTAACTTTAAATACACTCTATAACAAAAAAATCGACGCACTAAGAAGCAATCATTCGATAGTCTAAGAAGTAATCATTCGATAGTATAGTCTTTAGCGACGAATCCCGCTTCCAACTGTATCCTGACGATCATCGAAGACGTGTTTGGAGACGCACAGGGCAGAGGGGAGATCCTGCCTTCACTATTGCACGCCCCACCGGCCCTCAACAAGGCATTATGGTCTGGGGTGCCATTTCCTTTGACAGCCGGACCCCTTTGGTCGTCATTAGAGGTACACTTACTGCACAGCGGTACGTCGACGACATCCTAAGACCTGTTTTGCTACTGTTCCTTTTGCAGTGCCCTGGGCTGGTTTTTCAGCAGGACAATGGCAGACCACATACGGCACGTGTTGCTATGAACTGTCTGCAAGCTTGTCAAACTCTTCCTTGGCCTGCCAGATCACCA